ATCACTCAACCTCGATGTGTTTGTAAATATGGTCATTCGATCAACTGTCTCAACAGTTTAACTCACGTAATATATTGATTTGGACGTTAAAACTAATGTATATGTTATCACACAACAATACATTATCGATCTCAGAAATTACTTTTTGGAAAATTTAAAAAAAAAACGTATTGACTAAATCACATTTTACACATAAGCTATTTAGTAGTTTTAACATTGATAACAATACATTGCAATTGTTAAACTGGTGATAGTAGACATAATGAACATATTTGTGAGTAAATCGAAGTTGACTACCTAATTGCACCAAATTGAAGATGAGTGACCTCGAAGTAACTCGGCTCAAAGTTAGGTGACTTGCAGTATATTTATCGCTAGATTTTGATGTTGTGGAGTCATGGGATAGGAAGTGAGATGCTGGCTAATTTTGTCCTTTGGAAGTTCCAAAAGGCACATTAAGAAATGTCCCATGTTTGTGTGAATTAAGTATTTCGAGCATATATATATATAGTTATATACACACACATATAGTGAGAGATATTACAAGTGTATCAAGTTCTGGAGAGAGAAGAAGCGGAAAGAGTAATGGTGATTTCGAGGATTGAAATGTGCATAAAATTATTGAAGCTTGCCATAGAGTTCGTCGCTGTCTTCATTGAGGCTATGGCAACCGTTATCAGACAAAGGACGATGGAGTTTTCGACAAATCCTACGTACATAGTACCTATTCCGTATGTTGGTCTTCTTCCTTAATTTGTTGTAATTTTTACTTGTGTGCTTCATATTTACAAGGAATTATTTTGTTAGATGCAGCCATTTCGACCCCTCCGGTCGATCCCACGAGTCAATTTTATCCTTATGTCATATAAGAGAGCACATTGTATAGTCTGCCTTGTTTTTCTTATTTGTTTCATTCAAGAATCAAGATGGGATGATATGTCCCCATTGTCGGATGTGAATATTAATTTCGTAATTGCTCATTACTTATAACTGATTTTTCACATTTTAATATGAGTAATTTTTATTTTTTTTCCATTTATTCACAATGGGATTCCTACTCCGTCAAAATTATAATATTAAACATTAAAAGTAAAAAAAATTATCCATTTCCAACTTAGCTATGAGATCTCGCAAATATTACAACTTCAAGTTTCGTCATTGCAACAAGATTTTGAAGAGCTGTATGAGAAAGCAAGTTTAGCCAAATGGACTAGGGATGTGCTATGGGTACATAAGTGTACCCACCAATGGTTGGGCGCTAATGGACACCCCTATGGGTACACTTGTGTAACCATAGCATTTTCCAATTGACTAATAGCATAAAACCATCCAGAAATGTTTTCATTTGCTATATAATTCATACCTATTGAAAATCACAAAAAACCTGATGTTTGAAACATTTAGTGCAAAAATCCCTTATATCATCAATATCCGTCAAATTTGCCTTTAAAAACAATAAAAAAATGTCAAAACTAAAAATGAATAATTGCAATTCATTTAAGTGGTTTAACGATGTGCTTGCATCTACAAGAACAAAGCGGCTATGACTTTATTATATATAAATAATAGTGTTACATCATATATGTATATAATGACCCTAGCTTTAGTCCATACAAGATTTTAGGGCCCGTACAATAGGGTTATATCTATCGTTCTGCTCCGTTCCATTCGGTGCGCTACGCTCCCCTCACTCCACTCTAACCTCAACCGATTTATTCCAATATATATATATGCTTTCCACTCTATATAAGCTACATACACAATAAGAATGATGCCACATTCCATGAATATTGAACATAAATGATTAGCATTAATTGTTCCCCACAAGAATTGACTTTGTACAATAATATTATTTAGTTGACTTGCATAAGAGTTGCATGGGATTTGAGGGTTAAAATATTTTCGAGAAATTGAGCTACGAAATGTTTGTTCACCAAGTTTGAGTTTTACTAGAAAATGCATTGCTATTAAAAATTTGCAATTGGATTGTAGAATTAAACTTTTTTCCATGCAACCTATATTCACATGATTAAATGTCGAAGTAAATTTAGTTCCTAGTTTTCATCTTGAGTGCAGGCTAAAGACCAGCTGAGCTAACTGGTCAAATAATTAGACGATGGAGTTAAGGCCGATGTGTATTGGCTAGTCGAACAATCTTTCGAGTTAGTTTAGGAGAACATTTTGGTGTACTGCCCCCCGGGGCACAACTGGATTGGCAAAGGAGGTGGGAGAATAAATCTACATAGCTGGGGGAAGTTGGCGTGGGTTTAAATCCTTAGGAGGAAAACCTCAATGGAAGCCAGTGGAAAGGCACACAAACTCTGGCCAATCCAAATATATCCCGCAATTTGCCTCCTACACCAAGACCTATGGGTGGGTAGGTGTGGGCACTCGTAATGGTGCGTAACAAAAAAAAAAAAACATTTTGGTGTATTCGAGAATCTTCTTTAATTTTCTTAGTTCCACATAGAGGAAATATGGTAACTAGTTGATACGGTTTATGCGCTAGTTGATACAGTTCATGTGTATATGTCTTTTGGAACTTTCTAATGTTTCAAAAATTGCTCGGAATTCATCAAGGCTTATGCGCTAGCTGATACAGTTCATGTGTATATGTCTTTTGGAACTTTCT